ATTTTCTCATTTTGTGCTCAAGTGTAATATTTTCATATTTTGTAGGTTACACTACTCTGTCAGGTTCCTGAAGCATGTACTAAAAGTGCATCAGCTGCTACAGTTGGTATTATTAAGGTTTGCACTGAGCAGCGATTTATCTTAATGCATTTCTATCTTTTCCATATCTGTCTAATTAATGAATTGTTTCCAGTCATTGATTGGCCACTTCGATCTGGATCCAAATCGAGTTTTCGATATTGTAAGTTATATATTTTGTCTTTTTGCTTATTATTGTTCTTTGTTTATGTTTTTTTTATGTTGGTTGTAGCATTGCTAAAGAATATATGGTCTGGATGCACTCCTAGTTTCTCATTAGCATTTTATATGTTAGGTTTTGGAATGTTTTGAACTTCAGCCTGACAACAATGTGTTCTTGGACTTAATTCCAATGTTTCCCAAGGTATTGATGCTGTAGAAAGGTTTTTCTTTTTATTTTCCCTAAAAGAATATTACTTAGGTAACATATTTAACAATATGTCTCTCTGCTATTAATATTATCAATATTCCATCTTGATTATTTGTCCTCTTTTGAGAGCTTCATTGAGCAGCGATCTTTGATTGTTTTCCTTTTCATGTTGTGAAGTCCCATGCTTCACAAATTCTTGGATTCAAGTTTCAATATCATCAGCGTATGGAAGTCACTACTCCTGTACCAATTGGGCTCTATGAACTTGCGGCTTTGTTGGTGAAGAAAGACTTCATTGATGTTGATAGCATGTGAGTGTTTTCCATGTACTTTGGGCCTCAAGCTTGTTTGGTTTTTTTATTTTTTATTTTTGGTATATTAGCATCTTTAGACAATGATACAAATACAACCCATCATTGGTTTTCGCCTAAGTACAAATATCTGATTGCTGCCTTCATCAGTGTTGTTGCATCTCTGTTTAATCTTATGGTTACTGGGAGATATATATATATATATATATATAGAAAGAATTTTACATAGACAACCTCAATATAATCAGAACATAGAAGAAATTATAGATCCTGAACAAGATTATAATATA